ACCTAGAAACTAGACATGATGAAAAGTATGTGGCTGGAAACATACTTTTGGGGTTTGGGTAATATTTGAAATTATTGAGAATATTTGAGGCCTTTCGTGCTCTGCCACCATAAATTAACCAAACATCACCTGCTATTAAGTGTTAGTTGGATCCGATGGGTTTCCTTGGCCTGTAAATTGTGCATGGCCGGATCGACAAGATATTTATGTGGCTTTCATAAGAGCCAGCTCAGAGCTGCTATTGGCTGTTACTATTCTGTGGGTAAATCATGGCGTGCTTGTTATCTGGTTACCACTGGTTTTGAAAGGAAATGAGTGTTTGAGGCAGTTGTGATAAAGAGTGAGGCGCAGGTGCAGTGTTGTCTTTGCTGTCTGGATGGTTACAGGTTTATTAATGTTTTCTGTATAAATCTGGCTTTCTTCTCGCAGCCGTTCTGTATGTTTTTTTTTTGTTGTTGTTGTTGTTTTTTTACTTTATTTTAAAGGCAATCGTCATATTAGGTAACATGTTAACCAAAGTACATTTTACAACATATATAATTTATACAGCTCTTATCTAACTGCTGATGATACTACCCTACCCAACTCATAGTACCATCCCCACAGCTATGACCTCAGCACATAAGAGATAGATCCTTTCGAGGTCTTGCGGGACCCGTTATCAAAATTTGGGAAATACTTAATGAATGACACGATTATACTCATTAGTGGCACTTTCGAGTTAAAATAGTGCATGGCGGCTGCTATCATGAATGACACAAGTCCTAATCGGCACTAATCGGGCTTGATAACGGAGAGTATGCACCCGAAATACTCGCAATACTTAACAGAGAGATACAGACTACAAGCCCACTAATTAGTGCGGAAAGTCATGTGAATGCCAGCACAGCAACGTACCTAGCAGTCAGTCCGCCTCCCTTCATTTGAGAGAAGAGACCGCCTACCAATAAAAACCGAACCTTCTCTCCCAATCCAGACAAAGGGGACGACGGATCCGCGGCGGCGCGCACTGAGCCTGAGCATCTCAGCACCTTGGATTGATCCGACGCGCAAGAACGCACCGGCACACACGCGAGCACGCCCTCCAGATCTACCTGAAACCTCCACGCCAGTTAATTGTCATTGTTGAAGGGCGAGAAAAGGGAGATTGAACCCCGATTTTATTCGCAGCCTCGCCGTGTTCCCATGATGTCATACCTGTGGATTCTGCTATTAGGAAGCCTGCTGGCTACGCACGCCAAGGCACAAGGTAATAATTTGTTTCCAGTTAATTCAGCGCATTCTTCAGCAGAACATTTCATGTGTTAGTGTTCATGGTGGCTTCTATCTATCTTTTTATCTGTGCATCTATCTGTCTATCTATTTATCTATCTATGTCTGTCTCTCCTCCGTCTGTCTGTCTGTATGTCTGACTAACTGACTGTGCTGGTCATTATCTCACTGCCTCCATTTCTCCCCCCACCTTTACTCCCCTCTGGCTCTCACCTGTCTTTCTCCTTTTCTGTCTTTTTCTCTCCTCTTGCCTTTGCTTGTGTGAGCACATTTACCACTGTGTCTTTTGCCAGTCTGCTTGAATCCCTGTCACGTTTCAATTCAATTAACCTTTAGCTGATTAAAAAAAATCTATGTTATTATTGTTATTATCAGTTCTGGCTAAGCAAATGAAAAGCCCTCCATCTTTATTACTATATTGGGGTTCCAGCTTTGTTTCCCAGACATCATCATTAAAAAAAGGTGTGTCTTGTCATGTGGCCATTTCTTTTTGGACTGGAGTTTAGGTCCATAGGGGTGTGGTGGTTCCATTGTTGTTACATAAATAATTATAATTGATTCCCGTTTCCCTCTTTCTGTTTCAATGTGTTATTGAGCCACATCTATTCTTTTCCTCTCTGCATCTCTCATTCTTTGTGTTTTCTCTCTCCTCTTCCTTTCCCTTCTCCTTCAGCTGGCCCATGGGCCTCTGCCCTTCCCTGCGGCACATGCAATGATTCCAGATTGTTTAAATGTGCAGTAAAACTCGCAGGAATAGAAAGAAGCATTGAGAAAAACACATAAAGTGAGGAAAAACTAAAGAGAAAAGTGGACGGCTGTTGGCAAAAGATAAAGGAACAATGTAGCTGATTGAGAGGGAAAACAAGGATACACAAGCAAGGAAAAAGTGAGACAAATTAGTTTTATTATCCTTATGCAAAAAAATTCAGTTGGACGTTGGTGCGCATGGATGCAATCTGGCAAAATCTCACTCTACCGGTTATCACCAGATAAACTATCAGAGAGGAACCACCTTCACACACACGCACACTCTCTCTCTCTCTCTATCTCACACACACACACACACACAAACAGACAGACAGAGAAAGAGAGTGCTTTTTTCCCTTCTCTTTTCACACACATTGTCCATATTTGCAGAAGTTTAATGTGATTTTAAACTCAGTAGATGTTGGACTACTCAGTCACAGAAAATCTCAATGGGTGTGTTTGCTGACTTGCATATGTGTGCACACCAATTCTTAGTCACACCAAAAAAGATGGGGCGCTAGCTCAGCTGTATATGTGCACATCAGTTACAGTGCGATTTATAGAGTTGAATGATAGGGAGTGTCAGTAACTAGATCCAGCCCCAGCTGTAGACAACACCCATCTACAGAACTAGTCTCAGCGCCTTACGCTTCCCGAGGGCCCTTAGCATCTGTGTGCGTATGTGTAGGTGGGAGTGGGGTAGAAGTTTAATGTACAGAACATGTGGGAGTATGGGTGTGCTTTATTTATCGGTGTGCGCAATTCAGCTAGAGAACATGTGTTTGCCTTAGAAACAAATAAAAGAAAAAAGAGCTGTGATGTGAGCCAGGTGTGAGTGCATGTGTGTGCGTGCGCGTGTGTGCGTGTGTGTATGTGTCTGTGTGTGTGTGTGTGCAGACTTGTCTGTGTTTACACCTTCAACTGCTAACACATAAATCATTCTTTCGGTGGATAAGGGAAACCCACACCCATGCACACAAACACTCCACACATGCATTATCTCTATGGGGGCATTGTTAAGACACATGATTGGGGTAAACACAGCACTTTCTATCCCATAGAAACACAATAGAACCATACCTGTGTCACCTGGCACACATGCACAAATGAGTTTGTGTGTATTTTTATAAGGCAGGGCATGCACACGCGTTATTACTCATTCAGCTACACACAGGAAATCACACAAAATCTCATGGCAGAAACCAGAAAAGCTCGAGAGTAATGTCCTTTTTTACTTTATGGTGCTGGTAACGTGTTTCAGATTCCAATTTATGTAACGCACAGTCCTGTGTGTTACATAACTAAAACTCCATTAAAAAACACCTTTCAGTTTCCAAAACAAACAAAAAGAGAACATAATAGGAATTAAAACAAATTCAGCTTTTTATTGTCAGGCTTGCTAGGGCGTAATATAAAATGCCAAGATAAGGAGTTCCATCACTGGACATAATGAACAGGACTTCAATCCACATACTAGTATAATTCCCAACTGTCCGTGTTATTTATCTTTCTACGATAAGATAAGATAAGATAAGATAACATAAGATAAGATAAGATAAGATAAGATAAGTTTATTAGTCATTTCTTTACAAGGGGCTTTTCACAGTATATAGATTGCTTTCTTTGATGTGGCAAATGTTTATACTAGTCCCTTTTCCTGACACAACCCTCCCGAGGATTTGTGTTTTTCTTTATTGATCCCGAACGAGCACGTGAACATTTTCACGTGTAGTATAACGACAACACTATCGAGGCACTTCACTAATGTCCAAATTATAATATGAATATGATATGACAAAAAAAGTGCTGCCTGTTTAAAAAAGCTGGCATAGAAAATTAATTTGTAATAACCGAGGCCAGCGGCTATGATCTGCACTACTGCAAAAAACTCACCAATGAGTCGCAGATACAGCCTGTGAAAATTACTGTATCATACCCAAACTTCTGCTCCTTAATGCTTTGTAAAATTCAGGTCTTAAACCTGTTTAAATGTGGGCCGGTTCTTTGTACTGTCCCACAAACACTATATCACTGAAAACACTGAAACTAGTTAACATGCTGTAAACTACAGAAACATCATTATTTAACACAGTATATTAATTGTTCATAAGAACCACACCTCTTTGTGGCATGCTTTGCAATCACATATATTTAAGTGGAATTTCCTTTTAATTAAAGTTTGTACCTTATTTCCCAAGAACCACTTTTCCTGGTTCCTTGTCATGACAGTTCTGTCTCTCTTTTTTTTTTTTTTTTAAAGCATGTTGATTTATGCCAGAGTGCCACCATGACAAAGCTGATGCCTATATCAGTTTGGTATATATATATTACAATTTCATCTTGGTTGAATTATATAGGCGAGGTACAGCACACTTCAGGATGAACTCTTACATTTTGGCATAGATCCAGATGGCTGTTATCAGTCACTCTTCTTTCTAGACACATGTCATATAAAAAAGCAGTAAAGCAAACTGCCGGTTATGTAACACGGAAAGGTGAAGATGGACTCAAAATGAGCTGTGTGGAAAGATGCTTATAAAATTTCTCTCACGGAGCTAGAAGTTGCCAGGAGTTATAGGCAGAAATATGTCTTTTCCAAGAGTCGTCATTTTCAGGAGAGCAGCTAGAAATAATCAATTAACTGCCTGCTCATTGCCAGTATATTATTTGATATAAATGTAGTTGGCAGTTGAATGATTAAGTAATAATTCACTTATATCTAAAATGTTGAATACTTGCCATTTGTAGCTGCACAGATATTCAAAACAAGACATTTGATCATGTCACTCGGGCTGTATGAAATTATATCAGGCATTTCCCACATTTCCCACATCTGCTTTCATTCTGTTACCCAATTAAATTAGTCAGTATTTAAAAAAAAATCAATCAGCAGTCTAATCAATAATAATAATAAAATTAATAGTGGCGGCATCTATTTCCAGCAACTCACAGCGACGGCATAAACCCAACAAGACAAGTTCTCTTTATTACACTTTAATTTTTGTTAATTAATGAGCTTCTAGGTGCTGTTAGAGAGATTTTCCCGCCAGTCTAATTGATAGTAAGATACGTTTCCACATGGGTGAACTGGTTTAACTTAGGAGCTTCTTTCTCAGGGGATATTTTTGCAGTTTAGCACAGTTGTTTTGCGCCACACAATAGCGTGCGGCCATGTCAGAGACACAGATGACTCATCAGCCTCAAGGGAAAGTAGCGGCAATGAAAGAGAGAGAGAGAGTTGGTGAAATGGAAGGGGCGATAGGGAAGGCAAGGAGTGAGAGCGCTTGGGATGTGCAACAGTTGGCTTCACTGCTGTGCTAACACAAAACAGGGCTCCCCTTACTCAGAGAGCGAGGGTGAATGGGAACATGTGTGCACATGAACTTCACACGTGTGTGAACATGTAGCTGTTTGTATGATAGGGGACAGGAGGGGAGGAGGGAACATTACATGAGTTTGTATGTATGCATGTAAGTGTTGCTGGACTGGGCAATGCTTATGGGAGAGGTAGTTAAACGAGGAAGTGGCAAAGTAATAGATGGGAACAGAATGTTCTATGAAGATGGAGTTTGCATAGAGGGGTAGCCTCTACACACACGCTCATAAACACAAACACAGATGCACAAGAACTGGGGGAATTATATTATATCCTCATGTCTCATACACACTGCGTTCTCACACAAATAGAGACTCATTATTAGAGTTAATGGTTTGAGAGATTATTAATAAGATTGTGGCAGAAGGTTACTGACAGCTGTCTGAGGAACAGTTTGATGAATGTAATGTTTTTTCCGTGCCTCATCATAGGTGTTCTGGTGAGACTCGTCAACTTCAATCTTAACTTTGTTCCACCCCATTAGCCTGAAGTGGCATGCTACAGCACATCTTTGATGAAGACAGTAATTTCCAAAGAACTGATTAAGATAGTAAAATTGATACATACCACACATATCCATGCGCACAATGTATGACTCTTTATGGAAACTGATTAATGTTTGTTAAACTGGTGCAGTGATATTCGTGGAACAAAGAGATTTTTTTCTATGATGGTTTCAGGAGCCATGCAGTGGTGCATGAGAGTTTGCATGTCAAATATTCATGCTGCAGTGTGTGTGTGCACTTGCTTTTGTTTGGTGTGTGATTTTTTTTCCTGCAATATGAATGTATGTTTGTGTGGATGAACGGATTCAGGGTGTAGTCAGTACTTGTTACCACTAAAAGATTTTCACCCCGATGGAAATACTTTAGATGTGTTGCTGCTCTCCCTCCAGGCTTCGCTGATTCTGATACAATCTCACTTGGCAAGCCCAGTGATTCTTTATTGAAAATCCACCCTGCAATGAATAGCTCTTAAAAAAGTGGTAGAGGTATTTGATTAGATTTTTTTAATCAGTCCCGCCTTAATATTGGGTGTTTTGTGAAAGAAGATCTGCTCAGACAAACCAGCATCAGGGTGCTGCTGACGTCAGAAAGCAAAGAACAATCAAGCCAGAGCTCACTTTACTGCTTGAGCTTGTCTCATGCGACGGGGGAATGTCACAGGCGTACACGCACACATCGCTTGTCACACACAGACTGACAAAGAGCACATCTCTGTCATTTTCTCATTAGCACAGAGTTGCAATGACAGTGCTGAGGCTAAGACTGCATTTGATGTGGAAGCAGGTCACAAGTGATCGATGTGTATGTCAAGCAGTTTTTTTTTTGTTTGTTTTTGGCTGGATCGGTAGCATCAGGCACCAATCAGGCCAGGGTGTGGCTCTAAGTTTATGTATGTGTCATCTTAAACACCACTCAGATGATTTCAATGACTTAGAGGAACAACAGATGGAAGGCGATTAAGGCGTGCTGCTTTTTAATAATCAGCGGTTACACAAATCATGCCAAAATTTTAGTAGAAACTTTATTATATATATTATTATATTAGAAACCAATGTGATATTCCTTGCATTGGTTTTCAAATAGAAAAGGTTCAAAATAGGGAATTGTATCATCGGGAAGTTCTATGGGTTCAAAAGCATGGAAAAATATTCTTTGAGACACTGAGGTGGACTTTGAGTTGCCATGCCTGCCTTTTTTGTTTGATTAAAAAAGCTTGTTGCACAGGTTCTGCCAGCTGTGGCACCATGAATTGGCTTTTCCCCATCTGTTTCAAACTGATTGTCAGTGTGTAATCCCACACTGTATTATTCTCTGACTTGTGTCTTTCACTTAACTTTGTGCAGATGATATAATCCCAACAGTAGAGCCATCTATTGAAACTTCCACATCTAAAGCAGATGTAGAGGTCATCGACCAGCATAACCTTGGGGACGTCGTCACGGCAACTGAGGTGAGAAGTTGAGATATTTTGTTTGAGCTGTTCAGTCCTGGGTCCCTGTCAGCCGTTTGAAAATCTCACCTAGTGTTACATAGACGTTGCTTATTTAAATAAAATGTTGTGCCAAACAGGAAGTATTGCAGTCTGAGCCCACTGATGACCCTGAGGCTGAATTAATCCATGAAGCAAATGCTGCAGATGTAAGCACAGAGCCAGTGCCTACAGATGCTCCTGCAGGGGAGGAGGGTCAATCAGCGAGTCCTACGACTGGAGAAACAGAACCAGTTATTTCTGACGCACCTACAACCACACAAGGTGATTAATAGAATTACATATATGCACATTTAAAGCAACAATGAAACATGGTGCTTTTTGTTGTTTTGTTTCTCTTTTTTTGTTAGATAAATAAACTGCTGTCAGTTTCCTCACTTTTTAATACTTGGCATTCATACTACACTGTTGTTTTTATTCTTTCTTTCTTTTTTACCTTTCTTGCTGTAAAATGTTTCAGGTAGTTAATATCTCACAAAGCTGCAGTTTATTGAAAATAAAAATCTTCATTCTTCATTGTAGCAAAAAGCAGGTCGAACTTTTGCACTATTACATCAAAAAAATGATGTAACTTTGAAGGAATGGCTATTGTAATGTAAAATGTTTCTTACATGTCTTTCTTGTATTGTTTTTAACTGTGCAGCAAAACAAGCCCTAAAAGCCCATGCCACAGAATGCGGTAATTGGGCTATAAAAGGAAAAATCAGTGAACTAATGCTTCACTACTTCTGTTTCACTTCTATCCATGGCCAGCTGCTGATTCTGAGGATGACACTCCAGAAGCTACGCAAACAGCAGTTAATGAGGAGGAGCAACCTACCACAAATGCGAATACAACACCTGCTCAAGACGAGGTTAATACCATTTTTTAAAAAGTAAAACTTCTTATTCACACCTATTAAGGTTTGTATTTTACAGATGTCATTAATAGGTTGCTATGATAGTGAGTAAATGTGTCCTGTACTATGGGTTCATATGTGTTATAATATTTTTTTAATAGAGTGGACTTCATGACATCATAACAACAGTAGGTCTAGAAGCCAATGAGGAGGCACCAACTGATCCATCTGCTAATGAAGAGTCATCCACAGATGATTTCACAACCACAGATGAAACTGTCACTATAAGTAAGTATAGATATTCAAGTACATATTTTGCACACTCTTGTACATTTTAACAATGAGTATCAACTTCAGTGCTAAGACCACAGAGAAAAAGTTGTAAACAGAGCCAAGCACATGTATTCTGTAGATGAAGCCATCTCTTGAGTGTCTTTTATGATGTGATATTACACAAACCTCTTAGTAAAACATCACGTGCTGTCCCTTGTTTCCAGTATAAGCATGTATTTTGTGTGACAGTAGAACTGCAAGTCATAACAAGTAGTATAAAGAGACCTTTATATGCCTCATATATACACAAATAATAGCATACAGACAATAAACATACCTGTATTTGCCCTTTGCAAATGCAGGTCGGTTATTATTTGGCATTATGACTCCTTCTTCTTTTGATTATATAACCTCTAAACAAGACCTAAAAACATTTTATTTTTCTTTAAATTCAGTTATATGAAATGCACAGGAGCTTGCAAGTTAAGCTGATGTACAGAAATGTTCATTTACAGCATTTTAAATAATTACAGAAACGACAGATGAGGATCTGCATAGCTTGAAAATTATTTGAGCAGAAACATTTTTTTAGAGCTGTCCTTAAGATGATCAGTTGAATCTTGGGGTTTTCCCATAATCTCTGAATATACGGCAGCGCTGCCTGTCCCTGAGCAAACACTTCAAATCAAAGTGTTTGCTCAGAATGCCTTTCATTCTTGCAGTTTTGCTTTCTAGATTTTGGCCATAACTACATATTTAAAATTTGAGATTCGATCTCAACTGAGAGATTCTTTGATTCTGGGACTAATAAAATTACTCCTGACAGAACTTTTGCATTGTCACTCATTAAAAAATATGTACATGCTGTAATGCTTTTTTGAGGTGTAATGTACTCTTCTTCTGCAACTCCCTCTTTTCTGAACAAAATAATCCATCTGTGCCTTTCTATCAGGAAATACAATTCCCTTAGGAAGGTTCTGAGGTGGGATTTTGGCTTGGCTGATTTTATCTTCCAAATTATGAATGTCATGAGCCTGCTAAATGACCTGAGTAAAGGTTTATGAAAATAGAAGTGTCTCCTTTAATTTATTTCTATTTATCTTATAACACCCTCTTTCTCAAACTGGAGTTTGTGCTCTTTCATACTAAATGTTACGCTGACCTCATGTCAGTATGTCCTATTCTAAGGTTATATTAGAGATATTGTGCTTTAGCTTAGCTTGTCCCTAGAAGTGCAAGCACTGAGATGGGAAAGGAAGTTAGTAATTAGGACCAATTACCCTGGAAGAATTATTCAGACAAGAAGAAAAGATGTGGGGGTCAGAATGAGAGTAATGTAGGTTTGTTATTTAACATCCATCCTATCAATAAATTATTTTGGTATTTTAATTGTATTTGTTGTCATAATGTTATTAACAGAAAGAATAGGTCCCTAGAAAATAGGTCACTGAGGTTTCTATCAGTGATAAATTAATGCGGTGATCACACCCCACCCTGCCCTGCCAACACTGTACACTGAGTCCCACATGTTGTTTAAGTCACTTGGGTTTTCCCCAATAAATATATAGTAGGGTAAGGTTTTGTTCATGACAGACAATATCCTTTAATCTAAGTCAACACTGGTTCACAAGATCACAGTTACACCCTTGGAGCTGACTGTGGTTCTGTATTTCAGTACTGAGAACACCTCTGCAGGGCATTCACGAGGGTCATGAGGGACTGAGAACAGAGTGTTACAGTGTGTTACATGTGTTTCAATATGTTTTGGCATTATCTAGATAAAATTCCTGTACAGTGATTGATTTTGTATTTCTGTTTATGTATGTATGGATGTATTTATTTATTTATTTGTTTATTTACCAGATCCAGGGTTTAACATTGAGAAGACGTCAATTGCAGAGCAGGAAACACATGGTCAGTAATTGCTCATAACAGTTGCTGTTGAGTTTATTGTTGTTATGGATCAAAATAAATGGAGATGCACAGAAGTACCTGTCCAATACAGCACCAACAGATACTGATGGAGATTTAGCCTAAAGTGTAGTTTTGACTGAAAATTTCAAATCAGTACAATCTATGCGATGCAAAGAGAGTAGCATTGTTTACCACAGTGACTGTAGATCTTAAGGATCAGCTGTTATGGCCCCATCGACGTGGAGGGCTACATGCTTTTTACTTCAATGTTTTCACAAACACATTGGCAAGATTGATTGACTGACAAACAGGCTTATTGATTGATTCATTCATTGATTCATTCATTCATTCATTCATTCATGCATTGTTTTACTGTATACAGGGTCAAACCAGGAAAGTCCCGTGGAGAAGAGGGTGGTAACACACCAGGAGTTAGGTGGTTAGTAATTGCTCATAACAATTAAAATTCAGTTTATTCTTGTAACCAATAACCGAAAATGTCCAGAATAAATAAAGATATGAAACAACACAACCAGTACAATGAGATTAGCCCTGTTTACCACAGCAACTAGATCTTAGGGATCAACTATGAATAGTTGTATTTGTGTATCGAGTTGAGGCTTTTGCCTTAGCTGCCATCATCTAATTATCTATTATTTTTAAGTGGTGAAATTAGAGTCTTGAAGCCATTAAGATGTAAAATATTACAGGGGAAATTAGTGACAAGACTGTTGTCATCTTCAGAAAGGTTTAAAAAAAACAACAACAAAGTTATTCCTCTACCAAACATTTTTTTAGCACTTGATCACTTGAAAACTGCATCACAGACTGGGGTTTGAGGTGGTCCTCTGGTAGCTCTAGAGCCTGGTACAACAGGGCTAATGCACCACATTCACAGTAGGTCTTGAGCAAGGGTTAAATTGGGATTTGAAACTTCTTAGAGTACTTATTATTTGTGAATAGTGGTCAATATTTTAGTGGGTGTTTAGCCTACTGTATAGTACATCTACCCCTGAATGTATTCATATTAACACAGTGCAAAATTAGTTCATACTGTTAGCACCTCCTGTACAACATAACCAGCAAGAAGTGTATAAACTATGCATGATTTCGTTTAAGTCAAACCAAATGCTAACCATTACTGTGTAGTTAATTGTGACTGAGCTCGAGACGCTGGCAGCTCTCATTTAAATCCAATGAAAGGGGGACAGAAACACCATGTTATAGTGTGTTAGATTTGTGATATGTATTCATAAACATCTGGTAAGAAATTCCCATTCCGAGAATAATTTTGCATTTCGTTATTGATCCACGGTATTTGTTAATTTTATTTCATTTCTTTTTTTTAGCACCTCTGTCAAACGAAGATGGTTGGTATTCATTCATAACTATTATGGTTGAATTTATTGTTGTATCCAAACTAAAAATGTCCTGTGTATGTACAAACTTAGCATAGCAATCAGGGGCTAGTAAAGTGTAGTTTGGTTTTCATAAAACATTCTTCTCATTCCTCTTGTCTCTTTATTGGAAGAAGGCTGTTGGTTCAGTGCCTTGCTCCCATGACAAGGTGCTGAACTGACTTGTTTTACAAAAGCTTAATCACTAACCTTGCGGCAATATGACAGAAATGTGGGAACAGCAGATTTTCCTGAAGCAGCTTCTCAGTTCCCTCCTGAAATGTGAAAACTCGAAAATAGTATAATCATTTATATACTTGCGAAGGGTGAAAGACTCCTCTTTAGTACTCTGTTATTAGCAGCTTCTTCAAGTCGAAGCAAGTAAAGGGCAAGGATGATGTCACAGACATATACAGACAGGCAGTGCAGAAGGAGATAACAGGGTTGTTTGAGTGTGGATAAAATCAAAGATCAGGTTGTGAAAGAGCTAGAGAAAGTGTTTGTCTCTCTCTCGCTCTCTCTCTGTGAGATATTTTATCGCTCTGATGCTATAAAATCAATATCTTTGCCATCTTTGTAACTGTACATAAGGGATGTTTCATACAATCTTGTGTATGTGTGAGCATGTGTGTGTGTTTGTACAGTCTAGTTAGGACAGAAACTTTAGAACTCTTAATGTCCCTGAGGTTACAAGTCACTGTAAAGAGAATAATCTCACCTTTCTTCTTTTTTTCCACTTTGTCATTTCAGCAACAATGCTTTACATGCATCATTAGAACATTTAAATAATACCTTCTCTCTCCTTTCTTGTCTTTCTGTTTCTCTTTAGTGCCTGCTTTGGGTGCCTCAGGGAGTGATGGTAAGGATTTTATTTTTTCTGTTTGTCTTTGTGATCAAAAATACGCATGATAGCAAAATATTACAGTGCAAATCCTAGTCAAATACCGTACATAGGATCGTAGCCGCAGCAGCAGAAATAGGCCCAATGTGGTTCTGAAACAGACAGGATATTACTGGCATGCCTTTGTCAATGCAAACAGGATACAAGAGTCACAGAGAAACGCCTCTCTCTCGTGTTTGAAGCAGGTCTTTAGGGGTGTGTCACATCGAATTTTATTGGAAATGACTTGAATTTCAGTATGTGAAACAGTAGAATTAAATGTTCATATCAGAGCAGATTAAAGAATACAAACAGTTTACCATGAACAACTGAATGTGATGTTGTTGTGTTGCTAACTTTTTGTGTGTTCTCTCTTCTTTACAGCAGATCAACAGCCCCAAAGTGAGTTCTCTCTTCTGTTTTCCTGTTTTAAAGTAACAACGTGCCACAAACCTGCATGCAACTTAGTTGGCTAAGACTCTCAACCTTTCACCATAATCTCTTTCCATATTCACTGATCAAAAATCTATTCAGTTCCCAACCTGCACATACACATGAGCATTACTCATTTGTAGCATTGCTAAATATTCACTGACTTCTGGGGCTCACAGCGTCCTGAGCACCACTTCTGAAGTCTGTGTGCACAAGACACAGACTTCAGAAGTGAATCGCTGCTGGGCCAACTATGACTTCACTGTGATGATTATTACCAGAATGTTTTGGTAGCAAATAATTCAAGCCCCACAGCAACACCCTGATTACAACCCCATTATTGATCGGGTCATCTCAGTCACTTTTAACTATAGTCTGTTCACATTGTTTTTCTAACACTACAGTTAAATTTTGGAGTTTTGCTTCTATGCACTGCTCAGTGGATTTTAAATTAAAGAGTCAGACTTTCAATTTTGAATTATAAACATTTTTATACATAGGCCCCATTTTTAGAGGCTCACAAAGACTGTTTTTATTACTTGGGCGATAATCCTTTGAAGTTAGTGACTGCCTAAAGCCCTGAATCCATGGACATCACCAAATGTCACATTGCTTGAGATGCTGTGCTTGGTCTTTACTGAAGCCACCCTCAGTTGCTGCTTATTTGTGAGTCTTTCTGCATTTAGTTCTGTCTTCAGTAACTGAAAATCATGCTCTACTGGGTTGATATCAGGTGACTGACTCGAATTTCTTGCCTTGAGAAACTCTTGGGTAGCTTTGCAGTATGCTTTGTGTTTTTATCTATTTGCACTGTGACGGGCTATCTTATCAGTCACATCATCAGTAAATACCAGTGGATCCGTTCCCCTTGGTAGCCATACATGCCTTTGGATCATGAGCTGTTTCTCTTTTACTCCATGCTTTTATAGTACTAGTTCAGCTTTATTTAATCTGTTCCATGTTTGTCAGAACCCTGCAGGCTGTTTTAGATGTTTTCCAGCAAAGCTAATCTGGCATTCTTGTTCTTGAGAATAACCAGGGGTTCACACCTTGTTGTAAATGCTGTGTTCGTGAAGGCATCTCTTGATTGTAGACCTTGAAAAAGGCACACCTACTTCCTTGAGAGTGTTCTTGACTTGGCTAGATGTTGTAAAGTGTTTTCATTAACCAAGCATAGTGGCTTCGATTGACTGTAACAGGCTGTAATTCCGAAACAGTTAATGCTTTGAAGTCAGCATTTCAATCGCACATTGATTGTTCAATTTAGAATCCATTGTAGTTGTAAAGGGAGGTAAAACTTTAATTATTATGTGTAGTCAAGTAGCTTTGGTAGGTTTGCATGTTTAAACCTTCCTTTCAAGTTTAAAAAACATCTAAGAATAATTTTATAAAAGAAGCAAAAGCTGTAGAATCTACCAAATGGATTCAAGGTTTAACTCACAAGTGCGCAAATGTTTAATTACAGGAGTGACTCTATTGACGATATGGAAAACATATTTCGCTGATAGTCAGTGTCGTTTAGTATTATTTCATGTCAATGCCTCTGTTCAAGAAACAGTTGTGTGCCAGCTGTATGTGATGCGTTTATGCGCATTCATGCTCATACACGTCAGTTTCCACCCACCTTTACTTCCTTTTTCTGACTCACTATACTCTCCGGTTTCATTCCACTTAATTTAACTGACTAATTCCCACTTTTTATTCGTCTCACTTTTCTGACTCATGCCACTCCCTTGCTTTTCTCGCCGTGAGCTCTGGATCTCCTGTCCTCTTTTATTCTTTTTTTTTCCGAACTTATCTTTTATGCCTCAACATCAATTTCACCCCTGTAGCACTGAAAGTCTCGCTGTCGACTCAGGCCACAACAAGACAATAAAAGCCTCGCCTTTAAGTTGGAAACACAACAGCATGAAATCATGTGCCAGATATATGTCGTGTTAGTGTAGCCACCCATTACAATGAGTTTGATGGGGTTACTTAAACCTTTTTGTTTGTTAAAAACATTATTTAGATGCACAGTTAATTACATTTACTCACAATTTAGCCAATTTAGTGATGTATGTGCCAGTACCTATACTTGGCTGTGTGCTGTCACACAGCATGACAACTATTCATGTTGGTGTTGTCATAGTAACTGGGTTACAGGTGCAGACAGATTTCTGTGAATGCTCACTGTGAATGCTGTGGGAAGTTTAAATGACAGACGAATGAAAAGGAATCAGAAAATTCTGGAACGAGATGATGCAGCCTCGCTTTCTCGCTCACACACACACACACACACACACACTGTTGCTTGCTCTTCATCTCTCCCTCCCTTCCCCCTGTCTGTCTCACACGCACACACATAATTCACACATTATGTCATGTCAGTGAGCTTCTATGCTAAATTGATATTCATTCTTTCAACTGCAAAATGGCACCCAGTGCTGACACTCAGTGTTACAGTTACAGTTGTTATAGATGGATTTTCACAGATCACATTAATGCTCAGACCAATAGGTTTACAGTTCCAGTGGCATGTTCATAGGATACTGCTGAACTTGACTGCACATTCCCTGCTGGTATAACTTATCTTTATTTGTCTGTTTGTTTGTTTGTTGTGCTACAGAGGCCAGCTCAAGCTCTTTAGCAGCAATCCTTAGTGCGATTGTTGTGTCTGCAGTGGGAGCAATCGCTGGATACTTCACCTATCAACAGAAGAAGCTGTGCTTCAAAAATAGACAGGGTAATTATCTGATCCTTTTGTTGCTGGTGGAAAACTAATTAATAATAATAAATCAAAGGGAAAACTCAATTTATAAGTAGTTACCTTAACTGCTGTACGCAAGGTTTGGTATTTGACCAGACAAGAAATTCTTCTTGACCCTCATCAACAATGAATGAAGTGTATGCCAAAATTGTGTTTGTTGTTCAGTTTGGTGCCCACATTAGCAACAGAAGAACTGCTTATGTCCAAGCTCTTTGAAATGAATGCCAACCCCCATCAGAGCTTCACATCTGTTAAGCTTTAATGACGCTACAAAAGAAAATTATTCATCTTTTATCTGAATCTCCGCTTTAAATCAAGCTTCATCCTAACTGTGCCCAGTGGGCAAGGTGTGTGTTTGTTACTTGTAGTCCTAAAAGCATGGGTTTTCAAGTTTACCAGTTCTTTTAAATTCAGCTTTTGGCTCTCTTTCGTGAACTGTTGTCAGTGACATACGACTCACACCATCCTCGCATCCTATTACTGCCAGTTCAGCAAAGTTTTCATTTGCAGTCAACATGAGTAATAGGGCATCCAGTTATAGCAGTGCAGGCCAGTAGTCAGATTCAAAGTAACTCTTTTAATTTGAGCATTTAGAGTAATAGACAATATGTGTTTTTAATTTGATTAAACATGTTTAGACATGCAGTTTTCCTCTGTAAAGAGCAGAGGTGGTAATTGCAGCTAGTTTCTGCTTCATTAACAATAATTTAAAAGACTTCACAAAGTTTTCCACTGTGACACAAAAAATAAGAAACTAATTTTCATGGTTTGGATAATAAGCAATTACCCCAAGAAGTCAAGATCCTTAGAAACTCACACTTCTGTATAGCTGGTGAAGCAGTTTCACACTGAAGGAAGATGAACGTTTTTCCTCATATTTGAGAGAAGGGATGCGATAACTTGATGCTAATTAGTAGAAACATTATTAAGCTAAATCATAGACTGTATACAAAGGATGCGCATATCCACCATGATGTCACAGAGTGATTGCGAATCTTAATTTTGAAACCTCAACTTTAATAGTATAGCTGTATAGGAGTTCTGCATTTTGATCTTAAATGAACAAACTTGGTGATTAACTTAGGTCCAGTTCAGTTGTTTGAGTCAGCGAAAGTGAAGCCTAGCAGACAGGCGGTAATACAGTAGTGCTCACAAAGCCAAAGTCCTTTTTCATGCAAACTATAAGCCTTGTGGGGATCTATGAGCATATATTCACTTTTAATTGTAGCCTTAAGGAATTGCAATTTTTTGGGGCAATTGCGCGTTGGCTTCATTTTTTTCTGCTCTGGAGGTTGTTGCTTAAATACTTGCGAAATTCAACTTGGCAGTACAACCTTGCAATTGAGCAATGAGTTACCACGTTTGTTTTATTCGCTTTTCTCTTACTGTCAATCTTTGTGACTAGAAGCAGACCCTGAAGCTCCACACAAAGCTGATGCAGCAGAGGCTCGGTCAGATCCCCAGGGTATGACAAAAACACACACACACAACGAAAACGCAAAGAACACATTTTTGATATAAATATTCACATGTAATACTTTAAACGTGTTAACCATTAATCTATTTTTTCCTCCTTTCTTTATTTACAGTTCTTAGCAACCTTCTGAACTCCTCCTAGACCCGAAACAATCACCTTACCGCCCGGGCCAACTACAGTCTAGCAAAGTGGCAATCTCACTGTTCGGCTCTATCCTCTGTAGAGCTAAATTACTGTGAGGCCCCAGAGTAGGGCTGCGTGTTTCAGGCTGAATTTCTATGTCTGTATGTTGCTCTACACGAGCCTGCGTGGATGTGTCTCAGTGTGCGTGTGACTAATATCCGTTCATTCTTGTGTGTGCATAAATGTGGAAAGAAGGAGCTAGATAAAGATCATGTGATCTTTAGGGCTTTCATTATTGTTATAAAAAATGTATTAAAATAATTGGTCAAACACTCTACTTTAAACCAAATTATTATAATTTTTTTCAGAGTGGCCATTAAAGAGATTTAATCTCAATTTACGTATAACCATAAAATGGATTAATTATATACCTACCTTTTAATTTTATTTGTATGGCTACTATTAATTCAATGTAAATATAAAACAGTAACTGAAATCGATGTTGTAGGTGTTTTAACTTGTAATTGTTTCTTTGGAATTTTATACAATTTTTCCATTGTTGAGCTGCCCGTATAATTTTAAATCATTTAGATAAGACATTTCTTTTTCAATTATCTATAGTACAGATCCAGGTTAACTGGATAACAGGGGGACACAGTAGCAAGCATTTTGTGGATTCTGGTTAGGAGCTGTGGTAAAGGATTTAAAGACTAGTATTCTTGGGATGCGTGGTCAAATGTGTTTAGATGACCACCGATGTCACTGAATGTGTGTGCTTGTTTTCTGATAGGTGAAGGGGCTTGATTTAAAATCCTGTTAAGTGACTGCTGTTTCTCCTCGGTCGGTTGAATACATTAAAAGATGACACAAATCAAATACAGCCTAACATTCTAGTCATATTAATTTAGGAAATACCAAAAACAAGCCAACAAAAATATATTGTGTAAACTTACTAAAGTACGATGAAGTAAAGTCTAATCCAGTGTTGTTTCTGTAAATGGATGAATGGTCACCTGACATGGACAAATTCAATGGAGGTCATGTAGTAATGTATTAGACTTTGTTCTGATGTAGTATGTGTGTAGTTGTGAAGCAGTCTTTTTTTTTCTCTATAGTGCCTTTCACTGACACAGCCTGGCTTGAACAATCTACAGACACACAGAGAAGATATACAGGGTGACAAATTAAAGTAAAAGCCTAAATGCCTTTGTTGCTGTTTCAAATTTCAAAGTTCTGAGCTATTCTAAATTTAAAACATTTCATTTTGATGGCTGAAGTCTCTTACAAGATGAAAATATACCCATCCAAATTGCCTGTTTAATCGCATCACACCAAACTGATGTCATGATGGTGGTGTGATGAACTGGCTTAACACTTTAAACACCCTTAATGCTGGGTCAACCTTTAACTTTTTACCCATCTGCTACTGAGAAGACAAGCAAACCAGTAGGAGGCTATAACAATGAAAGAGTGTTCTGTATTCATTCTTAATCTGTCAGTTACGCAGTTACATTTTTTTTTTAAATTAAACTGCTCATGCATGTAAAATAATAACAACACAAACATAACAGCTGCTGTATGTGTGTCCACAGTCGGGCCGTTTGCAGTCTTAGTTAGCTAAGTATTAGCTAATCTTGCAATCTAAACTCTTTCAACCACCTCTGCTGGTGGCAGATGTAAAACTCTTCTCATTGTGTGTCTCTTTATTTGAGCAAGCCAGCTGCTGTAACAGTGTATTTTTATTGTTCATGTATCCACATTACAAACGCCATTCACTTGTGATTTTTTTATAGGAATCCTTTACATTTAGCAGCCGTGCCTCGGAGCCGACAGATTGTCTTTAGTCAACTTGTTTGCTGTGCTATTTTGTTAATATTATTGTAAAATGCAAAGGATGCAGCGCTACTGCTTTTTTCCAAATGTAGCACACACACAAAAAAATCGTAACTTCTGAATGTCTTTTTTGTTGCCTTGAAGTTTTGTACTTGCCCTGCTCCCTTTAAACTTTGATATATGGCTATAGAGGCTGCATAGTGCTGCAGGTCATGTAATGTGTGTTACTTGTAAAGCACCATATAGCTGCAATACAGGACAGAGACTGTTGCTAACAGCCTAGCCTCAAGCTGAGAAATGTTAATAATCTGTGATCAATTTCACTCTACAAACTGTGGGTCAGACGCAGTGTCAGCGATCTGTCTTCTTAACCTGTAATCTGTGACAGACAAAAGCTGTTTTCTCTTGTAACACTGAACTACGTGGATAGTGTATCAGGAGTGACAATGCACAAAAAATACCCACTCAACAATAATAATACAAATAGGACTAGCCACCAATGCCTTCAAAATGCAAATTTTTTCTTTAAATGCAGTACTGCCCTGCAGTGAACAAAAGCACTGAAATGTCCTGCGATGCTCTTTTAGATAACTTCCTGTAATGGAGACAATAATCCAGAAAAATTCGATATGTGTTGCTTGCACTGAGGACATCATGGTCAACAATACATTTTGCCGAAACACTCTCGGTCAATAATTCAGTCTTATTTATATTATATCAATTCACAACTACAGTCACCTGATGGTGCTTGATCCCAGCAATACAAAGTATCAGAACAAAGCATTCAAACCAGAATGTAAACCTTGAGTGTTGTAAACTCATTGGGTCCTGAAGTGCACTTGCCACATAACACTAGGGCATCAATCATGGCACTGACCAGTCCTGCCTTATTCCTTATATGCTCTTGAATATTCCTGATAGGAAAACAAACAATAATGTCATCTTAAAAAAACGACACAGCGACACAAGCAGAGATTTTTTTGTAATCTCAATGGGAGAAGCACGTTCCTATCCTGTATACATCTTGATTTACTACACATATATAGACAATTCATTTGTTCTTCTTCTGACTTCCTGTTTATTTAAATATTCTGTGTGGTTTTTGTGTAGGAACTGTTTTTTTTATTTTTGTCATCTGGCACTTGTGTTCTTCTGGAGTTGTGTAAATAATGTTTGAGGAATCAATTAAACAGTTTTTGTGGGATTTTTTTTCTTCTTTCATTTTTGCCACGGTTGATAGACTAGTTCATCACTTTGGTATACATTAAAAACTCTTCAGTGATGTAATGGATTATTGTAGAACGGACATTCAAGGTCACCAGAAGATTAATTGAATTAGCACCATCTAAAGTTATTGTAGTTTGACAATTACTTTGGTTTATGCCAAAATACATTAGTATTTAGATTTCCCATTAGTCAAAGCAGTGTTTGTTTTTATTGCTAATTCTACAATGTATGTTTTGTTTGTTAATGTGCTCAAATCTAATGGCAAACATGTAGACTGGCCACTTTATCTGGTACACCTGTTAACACAAATTTCTAATCAGCCAATCACATGCTGGAAACTTAATTTATTTAGGAATATAGACATGGTCAAGATGACATGCTAAAATTCAGAGTGTCAGAATGTAAAAGAAAGGTGATTTAAGCTACCCTTTTGGTGCCAGACAGTCTTGTCTGAGCATTTCAGAAACTCAGAAACACCACAACCATCTCTAGGGTTTACAGAGTATGGTCCAAAAAAAGAGAAAAGTTCCAATCAGCAGCAGTTCTCTGAGTGAAGATGCATTATTGATGTCAGAGATCATAGGAGAATTGCCAGATTGCTTTGAGGTAATAGGAAGGCAGCAGTAACACAGATAACCACTTGTTACAACCAAGCCACACAGAAGAGCATCTCCAAAAGTGCAATTTATCTGCAATTTAACAGCAGAAAAACACACTAGGCGTTGCTGCTGTCAGCTAACAACAGTAAAGTGAAGCTAGGATTTATGTAAGCTCATCAAAACTGGAAAATGAAAACTGAAACTGAAAACATGGATCTATCCTGTCTTCTAACAACTGTTCAGGCCAAATGGTGGTGTTATAACGAATATAGTATTTCCTTGGCACAGTTTCAGCCCTTAATACCTACTGAGAATCACTGAAATCCCACAGCCTGCCGCAGTTTTGTTGCTGACCATGTCCATCCCTTTATAACTAGTGTATACATCTTCTGATGGCCGCTTCCTGCAAGGTAACAAATCATTTCACAAAGTTCAGATCATCAGAAACTAGTTTCTTGAACATGACAATAAGTTCAATGTACTCAAATGGCCTCCACAGTCACCAGATCACAATCCAGTACAGCACCTTTGGCATGTGGTGGAACGGGAGATTGTTGTCATGGATGTGCACCCAACAAATCTGCAGCAACAGCATGATTTTATCATATCAGTACGGACAAAAATCTCTGAGGAATGTTTCCAGCATTTTGTTGACTTGATACCACAAAGAATTAAGGCAGCTATGAAGGCAAAAGGGGGTCCAACTAGTAGCAAGGTGTACCTAATGAAGTGGGCAGGGAGTGCAATTCTGTATGGTAAACACCAATGCCCTATGGGTCTTATGAGGATGTGGTTGTGACCAATGAGTAAGCTTCAATTACTGTTATTTTACCATACATACGATATAAATACAGTAAAAGTTATTCTATTTTGTGTTTGTGGCTTTTTGTGTATGTGATCTGTCGAAAAGTTAAGAAAGTTCAGTGAGAAAAAAAATCTTCGATATGTCAGGTATTTATAGACAGCCACACAATAATAATTCTCCCGTTGCAACTGATTTATTGTGACAGGTCTATAAAGACACACCTGATCAGTTTCTCAGAGATAGAATGTGGGAAGTTCAATAATGTTTTCTTGGTAAGCAAAACACCCCCCCCCCCCCCAGGCATTACGCCCACACCAACCGTAAGCCGTCCAATTAAACAAAGCAGTGACTATGGAGACGAGGTAGTGACTAATAGAGTTGCTCCCAACAAGTTAATCAGGTAGAATGATTTCTCATGAAAGGTCTTGTTTTGGTATCGAGATGAAATGAGTCATAAAAAATACAAGAGAATAATTTAGTGTAAAAATATCCCTCACAAATAGATGTTCTGAGGTATAACAAATGCCCTATAAGTCCATGACTTACTATATACTATAAAAGAGCTATAGTTATGTTTTTGACATCTATTTCCCATTATAGTTTGCAACATGTTGCATTTCCATACCACTTAAACTGGACTGAATAACCATTCATTGATCATAACTTTGAAAAAATAATAGTAGACAAAGATATGTAAAAAGTACGGAGCCCCGCAAGGGACATGGGAGAAAAAAAATTAAGACGGACTTTTGCGAAATCTCGCAAAACTTTTGCGAGATTCCGAGTTTGTTTTGCGAGATCTCGCAAAAGTTTTGCGAGATACCGAATTAGTTTTGCGAGATCTCGCAAAAGTTCATCGTCGTTTTTTTTTTCTCCCATGTCCCTTGCGGGGCTCCGTAAAGAAGTGCACCTTTAAAGTATGAGACAAAAACAAGGGGTGTCGACCAGTAACTTGCAGGCTACAGCTGTTTTTTTTTTGTGCCTTTATGTCCTACATTACGGTACAAATGAAGGTTCTGCGCTCATACTTGAAACAGTACTGTACAGTCAGCGAGGCGGGGCCAACGAATTTAGCTAAGAAGGAACTCCTGTGTTTATGGATTCATGATTGTGAAAGCCCATTATGAGGTGAGTTCGCATGGAAAAAAATGTCTGCTTATCGAGACAACTGCAAATGAAATTGCTCTCACACGAGCTACGGTAAGAGCCCGTTGAAAGAGCTCAAATTAAAACAAAAGATAAAAGGCACCTATCTGATTTCCCTTTTGCTCTCCCGACAGTCCGAGCTTCAGAGCAGCAGCACCTATGTGTCACTTTTTTTTTTTACTACACATAAACTGTGCCGCTGTTGCAAAACACGTATCACAGCAATAGACGCGTCATATTCTGGATTCGTTTTATAACCAAAACTAAGAATCGTTATCACGTTGATACATTAAGAAAAAAAGGTTTGGTATATAAAATGTAAAACATGTGATCCAAAAAACAAAAAAGAGTTGCACGTCACAAGTGAAATCGCAAGAGAGTCCAAAGTGAAATCGTAAGTTTTATTTGCTCGAAGTCCAAAACCTAATACGGAGTCCAGAAATCTGATGAATTTATATAGGTTTTATTTAAATATCGAATAATCGACGTCTTTATCACCAATGATGATAAAAAATACTAGCCTTGGGTTCGGAAAATATGTCAGTGTTTCTTTGACTGAGAGGTTAAGAGAACTTCAGATGTATAACCAGTGTTTTACTCTTAGATCTGTCCTGTTGGTCCCTTTTCTCTTCCTGCCCCTGACAGCAGGAAGTGATGTCACAGGGAAGGAATTTGACCAGAAGCCCAACTTTGTTCTAATGGTTGTTGATGACTTAGGAATTGGTGATATAGGGTGCTACGGGAATGACACCATTAGGTAAGTCTGAAATGTGTGTAGCTGTGTGTTTCGCTCCACTATTCTTTTTTTTAAGTTTATTTTTTCACCTTTCTAGAATTTCATTACTGGCTAAATAAATAAATAAATTTTAAAGGACATATGCATTTTAAAAAAACCTTCTGTAGTAATTATAGACTTTGAAACACTAGCTGATAGTGAGGAACTACAATTGAGGAACTACTTCAGATCCTTTAGTAAACATTGCAAAGCCACACCATGAGAATGGCCCATAACCCAAGCAAGTAAAGAAGTCAGGCATTTAATAAAATTACAAGTGTCTGAGCACTATTGGGCATTTTACAGTTGTTCTTGATCCCTTTGATGCACTTCAGTCATTTCCCCACCCATGCTAGCCTTTCTCATTGTGTTTGTACACACTGCTATTGTCTGCACATGCACGTCATTTCTATTTTGTTATTGTGTTCATGCATTTCTCCTCTGGCTCTGACAGGTCATCAAAACAGTTTGTCCTTCTGTCACTCAGGACTACAGATCTCTCACTGACCTTAATGCCGTCCAGCATTGCATTAATGTTTTCAATCCAATGTTTTTCAGATATGTGTGAAAGCACACAGCCAGTCACACACTGTCAGTGGTAATAGTGAAATTGGCCTTCAGTTGAAAGCAAATATAAACATTTTCCTGTTCTCCGTCTTGTATCACAGGTGAATGTCATGGCACTGCTAATTACACACAAGCATGAACTGTTCTTTGTGTATAGTAATAGAGAAACTGAAACAACCAACAAACTTGCAGATGTTCTCTTAAATGTTTCCATATGGCTGAATTAGTCTTGTTTTCAGTTAGTGTGTATGCTTTTCACCAAGTAAGGCGTCTCTGTTGTACAATCTAATGTTTACATATCTGGAGGAAAAAACTGCAGGTTGTAGGCTGTCATAAATATTTGGGAATTGTATTAAACTCTAAACTCTCTTTTAAGTCCCTAATAAAAACGGCATGTAATGTAGTTAAAGTTCATTTCAATCTTCATACCAAATAATATGTCTGTTCATTCAATTTTAAAGCCATTCCGGACTTTATGTAATGTAGCATTAAAAAAAATTATTAATAGGCCATATTGTTATCACCTCTGTTTAATTTTACAGAAATACAGCTTTCTTAGTTTTGAAAATGTTGTTAAATACACGAATATTTGTGTGTCTCTAGGTTCTTAAAACTGGGGTACATGGAAACCATAATAATATAATATTATTATAATATTAAGTGTGACAGATCCTGGTGGTGTAACTTGCAAAAGCATTCGCTGAAGTTAGCGCAACCTGTTAACTAAGTGACTTCTCACATGTGATTGTTTGAGAATTCAGTCCCCGCGCCATCATATAAACCCTCTCTTTCAAGTCTTTCCTTGTTAAAGTGCTAAAGGAGTTAATGAGATACTCCTTCACACTACATCCTAAATCCTCATCATCACACATCTTCACAATGGTGATTAGCAGGAAGAAAATCCTGTAGAAGTGATACACACAGTGTGATCTGTTCATGCTACTACAATGTGCTAAATGTGTATAATAATATAATACGTGTGACTGTGTAACGTGTAACTGATTTCAAAACAGTGCAATCTGCAGCAGGGACAGGCTAAACTAGCACACTTGTCTGTGGCTGATCTCCCATTCCTTTTCAGTCTGAAGAGCAGAATTACCAATAATCTGAACGTGCATCCAGCCTCTGTTTAAACTTGATAAGACCCTTCATCATATCTGTTCAATCTCTTTAGAACTCCAAATATCGACAGACTTGCTTCTGATGGGGTGAAGCTTACTCAGCACATTGCAGCTGCTCCACTCTGCACCCCAAGTCGTACTGCTTTTATGACGGGCCGTTATGCAATCCGCTCAGGTAACAGACATGTTTACGTTCAGTCAGCAAGTGGCAACCTGGACAAACTCCATGTTCCATATTTGATTAACCTTTTTTATTTTTTGTGCATGTGTGCATCTATTGACTAGGAATGGTTAGCACAGGGCGTGTCCGGGTGCTGCTATTCCTCGGAGGTTCAGGAGGGCTTGCACCCAGTGAGACCACCTTTGCTAAGAGACTGCAGCAGCAAGGATACACTACTGGTCTAGTGGGTGAGATGACATAATGTGCTATGGCCCTTTGGAAAATGGCACTTAAAGGTCTGCACACCGGGGATGTTTTATTGAGCACAAGAAGGCAATTTGTGATGACATCAGCATTTCCTCACTTTATCAGTGAAAGTGAGAAAAGGTTGATGGCACTGGCAGCACTTGAGATTCATATGGTTTGCATTTGGCATGCACCGTAACTCATCTGAAGAAACATACCCAGGATTTATGGTTCTGGTATCTCATCTTTCTATATCTCATTTTCATTGTGTATCTACAGGTAAATGGCACTTGGGTGTGAATTGCAAACACAGACGGGATCACTGTCATCACCCGAACCAGCATGGCTTCAGTTACTTCTATGGTCTACCATTCACCCTGTTCAATGACTGTGTGCCTGGAGAGGGCAGCGACGTGCTGGTAGATCTCCAGCACGCGCTCCAAAATTTGACCATGTTGCTCGGAGTTGGACTTCTCACAATCGTAAGTGTGATTTTTCTGTCAGTTTATCTTTGTTTTCATCTGCACACATTTTTTTTTTCATTTATTAATCCTTTATTTATCCAGGTAAAAATCTCACTGAGATTAAAAAAAGTCATTTCCAAGAAAGACCTGGCATGAGCATACAATTGTAATCGTAACAAGATCAACAAGATCATAATGAGGTACATTTTATTTTAAAGAAGTCTCACAGAGGCATATTTACTGAAAAGAATGGAATTATAAGAAATCCTGAGGGCTACAACATCCTTGTCTGACGATGAGTAAGAAACTGGAAAACAAAGAGTCGTTGTGCAAGTTGCCCCAAAGCAAAATTAACTGATGTGTGTAATCACTTAGACATGTGCTTAAGAGGTTGGAGGAAAAAAAAACACAAACTGGAAACACAAACTGCAAATGTGAAATTCAGTTACACCGCCCAGAAACTTATTCTAGAAAAAAAGAATAATGTCAATATTTGAAATTTGGTTAACACATGAACGTTTATTGATGGTACCTCACCTGCAGCATTGGTATTCCCAGGAGAAACCAGGGGGTACCAGTTAGCTGTGCCATTAAAAATGATTAAAAGCAAATACAAAAACCAGGAACCACTTCATCCTCGTCAAATGTTAACAAATACAACTATTTTCTATTTTCTGTTCTAGTGTGAACAAAGGACACAATGTACTACTTGTTTCACTAAGGGAAAATAATTAACTTTCATGGTAGTTTCTGATGCCATCTAGTGGTTGTATCATGAAGTTGCACAAAAGTAAATTAATAGAAAAGGGTCCCAGGAGTAATATCTGTACAATAAAATGTCTGTTATGGAGAAAATATGGTTAATGGCTTTGTTAGAGAGGACTGAGTCAGTTATATATAATCTCTGGAGTTGTAGTTTGTAATCAGGTGACGCTGGCAAACATGATATAACGAGTACCTAATTACCTGAGTACCTAATTTGTTCTCCTGCGTATAGAACCTAAGGTGAGAAAATCACTATAAAACCAAAACGCTTTCTAAAAACACTAGAAGTAAACTGGGAATAACTGTGAACATTGTCATTAGGGAAGAACAAACAGACAAATCTTTCTGAATCCAGCGTTTGTGTGTCTATGTGCTACATGTTTTCAGGTGTGTGTCCGTGTGTGTGGCCTTTTTGAAGTCGGCCTGTGGCTCCTGGTACTACTTTTCTTTCTCTGCATCCTAGCAACCGCTGTGTGGTATGTGCCCTTTAAGTTCTTGCCAACATGGAACTGCATCATTATGAGGAACCAAGAAGTAATCGAACAGCCGATGACCATGGAGACACTGCCCCAGAGATTGCTGGGAGAAGCAGAAAACTTTATAAAGAGGTAAAAATGGTGGAGCAAAACGAATAATCACATGGCTTTTGTCCAGAGGCTTTTACTGGTAGTCTTTTGTTTGCAGTCTTATCAAGGAAGTTAACCTTGATATGATGGTTATGTTAGAGTTACAGCTGATTGATCTCCAACAATACTGATAATTTTCTGTTTCCCTTGTGAGGAAATTAACCTTAACATTTGAACTCAGACTGACATCAGTGCACGTTCAAATGATTCTTACTAATTGGGACATTCATTATTTCAGATAGTTATTACAGGGATCATTACCAAAATAAATCATATCAAAATAAATCATAAAACAGGATCTATAAAAAAGTATTTGAGTTATTTTCTCTCTTTTTTTTTTTTATTGGATATTTATTGGATTATGTGGTTAATTTTTTTTTGTCCATATTACCATATGTTCATTATTAATGGTAATGTTAATTATTTTATTTTCTGCCTAATTTTATTTAATTTATTTAATAATAGTTTTATTTTATTTGTTTCTATTGTTAATTTTAATGACCAAAAGTGTCTTCCTCTTAACAGTTTTTCATTTCCATACCCCATTTGTGGCAGCTACTTAAATTTCAACGTAAGATTGGTCACGGTAATTGGCAGTGTCTACAATGATAACTTTCATATCATCAGTTAACACGACTGGAACATTTTTATGAAAGCAATGGCTTGAATGAACTCAAAACAAAAAATTGTTACAAAATGTGCAGCTTCTCTCAGCGACTGGGGGACATTTAATGGTGTTTTAACACCTACAGTCCATTTAAATCACATCTGTTTGTG